TTATTAGACACAAGTGTTACAAGGATCTAAAGACCTACTTCCTACTCTCACAGAACCTAGGCGAAACAAGCACACAGCATTTATAAGAGGAATATATCGAATGTGCAGTTGATACACAGAAGAAATGTCTAGGCCTTTCTGTGATCAGTCAAGTAAGACCAAACTTGAAAGCTGAGTAAGAATTTACCAAGCAGATAAACTCTACTATTGTTTATCATTGTGTCATTCATCCTGTTTGTGGCGGCCCATAGGTTATAAATACTCCTGAATGTCTTGTAATTCCTGGTGGTGAAGGTGTGGGTAGATAGCAAGGACGTTAGAGAGTGGAATGCACTGTGGGGTTTAATAGAGTGACTTTTTATAGACTTGTATAGTAACAATGTTATGTTGAACTGAGGAGCAGCAACAATATGCAATTGGAGCCATCAATCTGTGATTTATGGGTAATAAGCAAGTGGATCTAGACATGGATGTGTTTTTCGAAACCAGCATATAAATTTGGGACTATTGTCTGAAGAAAAGCGGTAGCAACAGACATCATGCTAGATTTGCCACCACAGTTCAACGTTTTGCACTTTCCAGATAATGTCATGACAGAGCCAGTGCATCTGGGTGTGAGCTTTTTCCATCTGTATACACAGCCGGGTACCTGATGGAGTGACACATGCAATGGAGTGGTTTTTTCTGCATTCCTTGCTTTCTGGGTGGCTCTGAATCCTGGCCAAACGTGGTACAGAGGCAGTGCCTGGGCCCCATGCCAATTATCTTGGTCAGCTGTAGTTGAAACTGGCTGGCTGCAATGTTTCTTAGGCCAAAAAATCTCTTAGAGAAGATTAACCTCCAGCTATACCCCCTATCTTTTGCATGCGTGGTGGTGCATCTGCTTTGCAGTTTTGAAAGCCCAGTGCTAGTGTTAAAGATGACCGTAGCTTAGAGTGGACTAGCTTCCAGATTTCTATAAGCCATTCCATTCTGTTACAGGCCGTCCATGATGATTTGAGTCACGCCAATATCTTAAGGTAGTGACTTCATGCCAGTAGCCTTAATTATCAGAAATTTTCTCTCCCACTCAAATGTCAAATTTTGAAATGCTCAGCTCCCCCCCCAAGAGTTATAAGAATTGCATTCTATTTCATAACTATAATTTCCTCATTTATAGGTAAATAACATTTAAATTTATTTAGTACTTATCAATATCCTTTCACACCAGACTTCCTCCCTCATGCGTTCTCTATTGTAATTCATTTATTGTTGGCTAGGCTACATCTGTAGGAACCTCTTTAGGAAGAGTATATAGGGGTATTATTTCCTGATTTTATGCATATTTGAGAATGTCTTTCTGTTGCTTTTAAAACTGAATAACTTGACTCAGTATAGAATTCTTGGGTCACATCTAGAACAGGATTTTGGGATGTGATAATTATTGTAGACATTCATTAAGTACTTGCTATGTGCCAGACTATTCTAAGTACTACATGACTTCATTTAATCCTTAGATACAACCCTAGGTACTAATATTATCTTCATTTTACTTGCCAGAAGTCACCCAGCTAATAATTAGTGAGGTTGAAATTCAAACTTAGGCAATATTGCCCCAAAGTCCATACTCTTAAATTCCTGTACTACCTCTCAGGTCAATTAAGCTAAAAAGTCTAGCTGTGTGACTTTAAGCATGTTACTTAACTTCTCTGTGCGTAGGTTAACTCTCTATAAAAGGTACCAATAATACCTCCCAAGGTGGCAGTGATGATTAAGTGAGTTAATACATGCAAGTTGCTTATAACAGAGCTTGTAAATAGCTTGTAAATGCTTAATAATTGTCTGTTGCTGTTATTATTATCTTATGGATAGTAAGCTGCAGATCTGAGCTTTGAACAAGCAGTTTGACTTCAGCAACAGCTCTTCACACTACAGTATCGACAACTAAGATGGCATTTCAGTTAAGTGAAGAAAAGGGATTATTCAAAAAACGGTGTTGGGACATATTCGATAAATACACAATAAATACTTGTTGAATTAATGAGAGTTCTGTAAAAGTATGTATATATTCACTTAACTAATATTAACAAATAGATATTACACACTCTCTAGGTCTGTATAGACAGACTGGAAGGAAACATAAAAATGAAAATAGTTTCATGGTAATGAGATTGTAGATGATTTTCTGTTTTGAATTTCCTTAATTTGTTACAAACTTTCTCTAATAATACAATTTATGAAATAAACAATTTAACCAGATAATCACTAAATGTTTTTTCATATATATTGAGTTTGAGGCACCTACAGAGAGATAGTTGGAAGGTGATAGCTCAGCATGAGAGCTTGCAGCCATGAGAAGATGGCAAGACCATCCCCATAGTGTGAACAGTGGAATACAACGTATAACGAATAGGCAAAGGAGGAGGGATTGGCCAAGCGAACTTCAGAGGAACTTGGAAAGATAGATGAAGAGTCAGAAGAGACGTGCCCCCAAACACAAAGCAGGAGGGCTGGTGGGAGAGAAATCACCAGTGGCAAATTAGACAGAAAGTCAGGAAAAGAATCTACAGCATTTAGAAATGTACAAATCTTTGATGACGTCACACACTTTATAAAAACAGTGAACATATAAGCCAAATGACATAATGCTGAGGAGTAAAAGAAGTTGAGTAATTAGAGATTGCAAATGAAGATGACTTTTCAACAATTTAGATGACCGAGAAAGGGATGGGCTCAGAAAGAATTTAGAGTGAGATAAAATTTCTTTCTTTTCTTCTTTTTGCTGGAATCTTTTGAAATGGAAAAACGAGGAGAAAGTACAACATCGTTGAAGAGGGAGAGACTAAAGATCTTAGGAGAGAAAGGGGAAAATTGATGGGACAGGATTTGAAAGCAGGTGGGAAGGAATGGTTTCAGGAGTGTAGACTGAGAGCCCTGGCAAGGAGGACTCTCCCTCTGAGACACTGAAGGAGGAGGTGCTGTTGTCAATCTTTTAAGAAATAGAAAAGAGACAAGTCAGCAGCATTCCAGCTGATGGCGTTTCAGGCTTTTTTCCTGTATACCTGTGACCTAGATGTAGCGAGTAGATCAGCCTCCCTTCAAACAGCAGCTTCATCCATGTGTGCTGTTTGTTTAATTTCGTTCTCTGTATAGGATGGAAAATTTTACTCCCTATTTTCTGTTCTCCCTTCTTTTGAGAAATCAGTGTAGGGCCTAGATAAACGATAGATGATAGATAGATAGATAGAAATAGATAGATAGGTAAACTCATACACACTTTACTCCCATGGTCATTCCTATAGCCTGCAAATATAACTTGTGGTCAAAAATAAACTAGAGTCAAAATAAAACAGAAAGTAGCATGCAATACACTCTGCTAACCTAGTGGGCATAGCTGTGCAGCTTCATAACTATCCTTTATTAGGAGGAAAGCCCAGGACTCCTAAACAAGAAAATGAACACTAGTATATGAGAGTACATGCACATAAGTTCATGGAGGAATATATTTTTAAGAAAAGACCATCTGGGGCTGGCCTAGTGGTGTAATGGCTAAGTTTGCACTCTTGGCTTCAGCAGCCCATGCGTTTGAGGATTTGGATCCTGGGTGTGGACCTACACACTACTCATCAAGCCAAGCTGTGGCGCTGTCCCACATACGAAATAGAGGAAGACTGGCACAGATGTTAGCTCAGCGTCAATCTTCCTCAAGCAAAAAGAGAAGAATTGGCAACAGATGTTAGCTCAGGGCCAATCTTCCTCACCAGAAAGAAAGAAAAAAAAAGACCGTCTGTGCTTTTCCAAAAATGCTCCAGATCAAGACCATTCTGTTATTAGCTATCCCATAGATGTGGCCTTTTTGTCTTTTGCCTTTTGGTCATATCCTTTCCTGTGTTTGATTAAGCACACATGTAAGGTACCTCTGTGTTCCTAAACTACAAACTTTGGCCAGAAGAGTGAATCTGATTTTAAGGTCAACTAATGGAAAATACTATAGGGAAATCCCATTATGTTGACGACTATTTTTCATGCTTAAAAAGTAGAAGTAAGCTGATGATGTTAAAAGACTCACAGTCTGTTTTATAAGAATTTATTGGAAAATGAGTGCCAAATAAGCAAATTTTGCAGTTAATTAGTATTTACATGTTTAAGCTGAAATATTTTTTATTTTTGTTCAATCTAAATAAATTAGATTGTTTCATGCCTTATTAAATAGGACATATTTGTGGCTTAAAAATCATTGTTGCATATTAAATTCATAGTCCAGACCTTTTGAAGGCTGTAAGTAATTTCCTCTACACAAATACCCAGGGGTCACATGTTCTATCCATGTTTCTTCTATAATTCTTCTGTCCTCTCCTTCATTGAGTACTTCTCATTGTTTTAAGTTGTGCTCCCTTTATCATTATTTCTATTTATCATGTTTTCTAATTTGTGGCCAAAATAACCTGGGCAAATAAAGTCAGTACAATCAGTGACTTTTTTTTTTCCATGCTATTCACAATTATTAGACCCTTTAAGAGCTGGCTCCAGGGTTTTCTAATAGAATTAACCATATAGGTTTTATAAAAGGTCTGTTCCAGAGATCTCTTTAATTCTTTAGTCTGTACCTGTTCTTTTGAAGGTTTAGATGCCAGAAAGAAAAGGTTTTACTAGAGCTTGACTATCTTATATAACTAATGCTTATCAGTAACATGTAGGTAATTTTGAAATAGTAGAAAGGTCTGAGGGCATTCATATGCTGATACCATTAAGAAGATGCACCGAAATCTTGTACAAAAGATTTTTAGAGGAGCCCTGGAATTGATTTCTAAGCTGTATTCACCTCATTTGCACCCCTGAAGGCATCGGTAGAGTATTGGCAGCTTTGTCGCATCACCAACATTCAGTCATGCCAAGCAAGATGCTGGCTGGGACAGTCATGCCCTTGCTGATGTGTACCGATCCTTTTTCAGTTGTCATTGCATAAAATTTCCGGTGGTCTTTAGATATTGTAAATAATTTTTACTTTTTTTGTTTTTTAGGGCAACATAACTATTTATGTGCCGGAAGAAATGACTGCATTGTTGATAAAATCCGCAGAAAAAACTGCCCAGCATGTCGCCTTAGAAAGTGCTGTCAGGCTGGCATGGTCCTTGGAGGTAATGCTGACGTTTTCATCAATAATATTCCATCTAATATTTACATTTTAAAACTGTGCCAGAAAATCCTAGATTTCTCATTTATCTTTGTTCTTGCCTTGCTTTTTCTGTTTTGATTATTAGTGTCTGACTGAAGCAACCAACACCATCCTGTTAACTTTATAGATTTTCATCATCTTGAGGCTGTTATGAGAAGTACTAAACCTTCTTCTGTCTATATTGCCAATAAGTAGATAATATGGAAAGTTTGCAACCTCTCATCAAGTAACATGGATTGGAGTCTAGGCTCTGCCACTCACTGCCTATGTGGCCTTGAGTAGGTCACTAACCCTTTATGGGCATCAGTCTCCTTATCTGTAAAATGAGAGCACTTAAGTTCCTTCCAGCTCTAAAATTGGTTCTGTGAGTTGGTCAAGTACATTAATCTCCATCTCTCTCTCTCTACATCAGTCCCTCCCATCCTACTTTCTTCTCTCTTTAAGTAACTTCCCATTCTCTTTAAATAGCTATATATTGGGCCCTTACTACTTACCAGGTACTAAACTAAGTTCTCTTTACTTGTGATTGTCTAGTCAAATTCTCTATTTCTTCCTGATTCAGTTTTGTATGATACTAAGAATTTATCCATTTCTTCTGGGTTATACAATTTGTTGGCATATAGATTTTCATAGTATTCTCTTATAATCCTTTGTATTTCTGTGGCAGCCATTTTAATTTCTCCTCTTTCATTTCTAATTTTATTTATTTGAGCCTTCTCTCTTTTTTTTTATTGAGTCTGGCTATAGGTTTGCCAATTTTGTTTATCTTCTTAAAGAACCACCTCTTAGTTTCATTGATCCTTTCTATTGTTTTTTTAGTTTCTATTTCACTTATTTCTGCTCTGATTTTTATTGTTTCCCTCCTTCTACTGACTTTGGCTTTGTTTGTTCTTCTTTTTCTAGTTCTTTATGTATAGTTTAAGATTACTTATTTGAGATTTTTCTTGTTTGTTGAGGTGGGCCTGTATTGCTATAAATTTCCCTCTTAGTACTGCTTTTCCTGCATCCCATAAGAGTTGGTTTGTTTTGTTTTCATTTTCGTTTGCCCCCAGGTGTTTTTTATTTTTAATTTCTCCTGTGACTTCTGCATTGATCCAATGGTTGTTCAGTAGCATGTTGTTTAGTCTCCACATATTTGTGACTTTCCCAGCTTTTTCCTTGTAGTTGATTTCTCATTTCAGAGCCTTGTGGTTGGAAAAGATACTTGATATGATTTCAACCTTCTTAAGTTTATTGAAGCTTGCCTTGTTCCTCAACATATGGTCTATCTTTGAGACTGTCTCATGTGTGCTAGAGAAGAATGTATAGTCAGCTGTTTTTGGATGGACTGTTCTACATATATCTATTAAGTCCATCTGGTCTAGTGTTTCATTTAAGGCCATTGTTTTGTTATTGACTTTCTGTCTGGATGATCTATCCATTGATGTAAGTGGGGTATTGAGGTCCCCTACTGTTATTGTGTTGCTGCAAAAATTCTCCCTTTAGGTCTGTTCATAGTTGCTTTATATACTTTGGTGCTCCTGTGTTAGGTGTATATATATGAATAACTGTTATGTCCTCTTGGTGGAATATCCCTTTTATCAATATATAATGCCCATCTTTGTCTCTCATTATCGTTTTTCTCTTGAAGTCTGCTTTGTCTGATATAAGTATGGCTGCATCCGCTTTCTTTTGTTTGCCATTTGCTTGGAGTGTCATCTTCCATCCCTTCCCTCTGAGCCTATGTTTTTCTTTAGAGCTGAGATGTGTTTCCCAGAGGCAGCAAATTGTTGAGTCTTGTTTTTTAATCCATCCAGCCATTCTGTGTCTTTTGATTGGTGAAATCAATCCATTTATGTTTAGAGTGATTATTGATATATGAGGCTTAATATTGCCATTTTATCTCTTGTTTTCTGGCTGTTCTGTATTTCCATTGTTTCTTTTCCCTAGTATTTCTGACTACTATTTCAGTTTGGTGGTTTTCTGTGATGGTTTTTTTCAATTTTCTCTTTATTTTGTGATTTGTGACTCTGCTCTGAATTTTTGTTTTGTGGTTACCATGAGGTTAGTAGAAAAGACCTCATAGATGAGATAGTTCATTTTCTGATAAGCTCTTATCTCCATTAGCCCAAGCAGGTTTCATCCCTTTCATCTTCCCCTTCTGTGTTTCTGCTGTCACAAATTATTCTGTTTTCTGTTGTGAGTTTGTGACTAACTTGAAGTGTTTGTGGTTATTTTTGGTGTTTTCTTTCCCTTTATCTTTTATGTTATAATTATTTGCTAACTTAGTCCGATAGTGAGCTGCAATTTTCTGATTTTGTCTATTTATCTCCTTGCTCAAAGCTTTGTAAACCTTTGCCTTTTGGTTTCAGGAAGGAGGGCTCCCTTCATTATTTCTTGTAAGGCAGGTCTAGTGCCGATAAACTCCCTTGGGTTTTGTTTATCTGACAAAGCTTTTATTTCTCCGTTATATCTGAAGGATAATTTTGCTGGATAGAGTATTCTTGGCTAATAGTTTTTGTCTTTCAGTACTTTGAGTATATCATTCCATTCCCTCCTAGCCTGTAAGGTTTCTGCTGAGAAATCCACTGAAAGCCTGATAGGGGTTCCTTTTTATGTTATTTTCTTCTCTCTTGCCACCCTTGATATTTTTTCTTTGTCATTGACTTTTGACAGTTAATGTTATATGCCTTGGAGAAGGTCTTTTTGCATTGATGTAATTAGGAGTTCTGTTGGTTTCATATACTCGTATGTCCAGTTCTTTCCCCAGGTTTGGGAAGTTCTCAGCTATTATTTCTTTGAACAAGCTCTCTGCTCTTTTCTCCCTGTCTTCTCCTTCTGGGATAGCCATAGCTATAATCCGTATGTTACTTTTCCTAATTCATTCGGTTATTTCTTGAAGAATATCTTCATTTTTTTAAAATCTTAGCTCTCCCTTTCCCTTCACCTGAACCATTTCTAGGTCTCTATCTTCAAGGTCACTAATTCTCTCTTCCATAAAGTCTACTCTTTTTTTTATGCTTCTAAATTATTTTTTTAATCTCATTAATTGTGTTCTGTGTATGCAGAATTTCTGTTTGGTTTTTTTCTTACGGCATCGATCTCTTTGGTGAAGTATTCCTTCTGTTCATTAATTTTATTCCTGAGCTCATTGAACTGTCTTTCTGAGTTTTCTTGTAACAGTGAGTTTCTTTATGATAGCTATTTTGAATTTCCTGTCAGTTAGATTGTAGTCTTCTGTAAGTTCAGATTTGGTTTCTGAAGAGTTAGCATTTTCCTTCTCTTCTGCAGTGTTACTGTAGTTCTTCATGGTGTTTGATGAATTAATCCTCTGCCAGCTCACTTTTGGTAGTAATCACCTTTTCTTATTTGGGTACAGCTTTGGTTTCTTTGGTTCTGGTCACCTGAGTCTTGTGTTTCTCTACTGGCTCTCTATAGGTTCGGATGCTCCTTCACATAATCTAACAGTTTTATTATTTATCCTGTAAGACTGTAAGAGTTTGTCTTTGTGATTCCCCATAATATAACATATGTATATATGTATATTATATGTATATAGCATAACATAGAACATATATCCCCATAATATAACAATATAACAATATAACATAACTTACTGCATTATTAATTATTTAATTATGAAATATATCAAACCTACCAAAAATATTTAAAATAAACACCTGTGCATCCACCACTCAATTTTTTTTTTTTAAAGAATTTATTTTTTCCTTTTTCTCCCCAAAGCCCCCTGGTACATAGTTGTATATTCTTCGTTGTGGGTCCTTCTAGTTGTGGCATGTGGGACGCTGCCTCAGTGTGGTTTGATGAGCAGTGCCATGTCCGCGCCCAGGATTTGAGCCAATGAAACACTGGGCTGCCTGCAGCAGAGCATGTGAACTTAACCACTCAGCCATGGGGCCAGCCCCTCCACCACTCAGTTTTTAATATCAGATCTTTTTTCATATTTTCTTCATTTTTGTTGTATTTTGTAGGGAACTAAAGATATTTGAAGCTTCTGGTATATCCTTTCCTAAACCCATTAGATTCATTTCTTCCTCACAGATAACCACTATGGTGAATTATTGCTTAACATCTTCATACTTGTAACTTATGTCGATGAATCCTTACCTGATACAGTATTATTCTGACTATTTTAAAACTTTATATAGATGGCATCACACTCTACATGTACTTCTTAAACTTGCTTTTTTCACTCAATGCTGTGTGAAATTTTTTTTGAGATTTATTTATATTTATTTATGTAGCTAGGATTTCATTTTAACTTCTCTATGATACTTCATTTTGTGAACATTCCACAGTGCTTTTCCTTCTTGTGTTAACAGATACTTATTTCTAATTTTTGATGATTTTAAAATGTGTACCAGTAAGCATTTTTGTACCTGTATCTTTGTGAATGTGTTTGAGAAATTCTCTAGGCTATTTATCTACAAAGGAAATTTCTAGATTTATTGTATCTTCCTAAATATTACCTAATCACCAAATCACTCTCCAAAAGTGTTTCCTTCCAGCAGTGATTTGAGAGTTCTTCTTACCATGCATCCTCACTTATACTTGGTGTTTTCAGACTTTTTAATTTTTCTAATTTAATGGGCATAAAATTGGTATCTAATTTTGGTTTGATTTGTATGTCCTTTATTAGTGGTAAGGCAAATGCTGCTTCATATATTTATTGGCCATTTGTATTTCCTCTTCCATGAATTGGCTCTTCATATCTATTAGCCATTTTTCAACTGGATTCTCTGTCTTTTTTTATATTGATTCATAGAATTTACCTATATTCTCTATACTAATTCATTGTTAGTTACATGTAGTCTATGTCTTGACTTTTTACTGTTTATGATCTTTTTCCTAATTTTTGTATAATCACATATATTAATATTATCTCTTTATATCCTTTCCTACCCTGATATCCTACTGACAATATACTAAAAATCATCTAAAATCTTAAAAGTTTGTTTTTTT